ACGCTGCATGAGCCGACTCTACTGAGTACGAAGTCGAGAGTCAGAAGAGTCGAAGCGACATCAGCAATCGTCAGATAAAGACCGATGTAGGCAGAAAGATTCGAAGTGAAAAGAGTGGGAACAGGTTTGAAACTGGTTCCTGCGCCGCACAGTTTAAAGCTGCGGCTTACATACCTCAAGGGACGGGCCTTGGTTTATCACCTGAAAACCAGATGAACCAAGTACATGTCTGGGGAGAAACCATCGAGGCAGAAAGAGGGAGGGGACTGGGGGTTCCCAAACCAGCCGAGGCCATGTTCGATAGCAGGTGTTTGTTTTGCAACGGAACGAGAGGGGGAAAAGTTTAGTGGTTGCAAAATTTTGTTGCGCCTGGTTCTGGATGAAACTCACAAAACCAACCCCCCGCATCCCCGTTCCGTTAGGCTATCGAACAGGGTTTAGGAACTTTATCTAGGACTTCCGCCCTTCGGCGCATTCATCCCCCAAACCTCCCCCCCTCACGAAATAACAACAGACTCGCTTGAGTCTGTTTTCCCAACCCATCGCCCCTAGCGAAACTGAGTAGTTCCGCGAAGTCTTGTTCTGGAAGAGAGCCTCTTCGCAAGCCAATCAACGTGTGCCAAAGGGTGTGCAATAGAAATACCCCCAGAAAATACCCAGAAGTATGTAGACCGCAGCTTTAAACTTCGCGGTAACAAGGGAATGTAGGGCTAGAGTACATGGCTAGTCTAGGTCGTTTCGTATTCCATGTATTCTATATATAAAATCGATGTATGCCTGCTTTTGATCATCTCAGTCATTTACATTCACTTTGATATGAGGTCAACACTTCCGCTGCAAAAACCTACCTGCGATAATAGAAAGACCTCCAATCATTGCAAAAAATCAACGCGGGGACTGTTAAACTATATGTTCGTATTGTCTCTTGGCTATAGTGGTTTGCTTACAAGGGGTACAACACATTTGGGTTAGTACTTGTACCCAACTCATTCATAATTCATTCATTCCTGCACTGTGATTTTGACATGGTATTCAGAGCAGGAAACCTGTTAGGTTTTTAGGGCCTAACGATCGTTCCGCTAGTTCCTGCCCGAAGCGCCCTTGCTCTGTCCGGCCCTCTCGCACAGTGTCACGCTGCACTGCAGCTACTCGCACTGCACTGCAGCTACTCGCACTGCCTGCCCTAGCGCGCTGCCCTGCTGTCACGCGGGCCCCTGCTGCCCGCGTGCAGCTTCCGCCCAACACGCCACTGCTGCCCGCGAGAAGCCCCTGTCTCGAGCGCCACTGCTGCCCGCGAGCAGCCCCTGTCTCGTGCGCCACTGCTGCCCGCAAGCAGCCCCTGCCTCGAGCCCCAATGCTGCCCGCGAGCAGCCCCTGCCTCAAGCGCCACTGCTGCCCATGAGCAGCCCTTGCCTCGAGCGCCACTGGTGCCCGCGAGCAGCCCCTGCCTCGAACGACACTGCTGCCCGCGAGCAGCCCCTGCCCCGAGCGCCCCTGCTGCCCGCGAGCAGCCCCTGCCCCGAGCGCCCCTGCTACCCGTGAGCAGCCCCTGCCCTGCGCATCGCGCCCTGCTGCAATCCGCGCGTCGCGCTCTGCTGCAGCCCGCGCGTCGCGCTCTGCTGCTCCGCGCGTCGCGCTCTGATGCAGCGCGCACGTCACGCCCTGCTGCCCTGCGCGTTGCGCCCTGCTGCAGGCCGCGCGTCGCGCTCTGCTGCTCCGCGCGTCGCGCCCTACTGCAGCCTGCGCGTCGCGCTCTACTGCCCCACGCGTTGTGCCCCGCTGCAGCCAGCGCGTCGCGTCTTGCTGCCCCGCGCGTCGCGCCCTGCTGCTCTGCACAGCACGCGCCCTGCTGCCCGCGCCGCCCAGGCCGAGCCGCGCCGCCCAGCCCGAGCCGACCTGCCCAACCCGAGCCGTCGTGCTGGTACTACAGCTGCTGCTGCTGCTGCTCGTTCTACTGTTGCTGCTGGTGGAGGTGCTGCTAGGAGTGCTGAAGGTGCCGCCGTCCAGCCCCACCAAGCCGCCCTACTGCCGCTACTGCTGCTGCTGCTGCTCGTGCTACTGCTGCTGCTCGTGCTACTGCTACTGCTGGTGGAGGTGCTTCCGGGAGTACTCGAGGTGCTGCTGGTGCTGGAGGTGCTGGAGGTGCGGCTGGGAGTACTGGAGGTGGTGCTAGTGCTGGAGGTGCTGGACCTACTACTGAGCGTCATTGCCTGTCATGGCCACTTGCAGCGGCTAGGGATGGACGGCAACGGTCCCTGCCTCTCCCGGACGACCCCACCCCTCAGCAGCTACGTGAGTGGGTTTTTCAGCGAGGCCGTCCTGGTGGTGGAGGTTTTGGTTTTATGTGGTCTCAGCGACCTCGCGACTGTACTTCTCAGCGATGCGTCCCTGGTTGTGTAGAGGTTGCTGCTCCCAGTTCTAGTGAGTCTGCTGCCGCTCCTGGTGCTGGTGAGTCTGCTGCAGCTCTACGTGCCCGTCAGTCTGCCGACGCTCTAGGTGCTAGTGCGTCTATTGCCACAGGTCCTTGCTCAGCTGAGGCCTTGCATACTTTCACGCTTGACTCAGGCGCGTCACGTTGCTTCTTTCATGATTGCACCACAGTCAGACCACTTGCAACACCTGTCCCAGTCTCACTGGCTGACCCCAATGGGGACCCAGTAGTTGCGCGAGCCTCCACTGTCCTCCCGAATCCTGCAGTCCCCTCCGGTTCTCTGTCAGGTCTCCACCTCCCCACGTTCTCGACGAACTTGGTAAGCAACGCTGCCATTCAGGATGTCTGGGTTGATACCTTTATTTCGGGAGGGCAGCGTGTGGCGATTTGTATGTGCTCTTGGACTGGCCGTCACCTTGCTATGTTCACTCGACGGCCTGGGTCTAGTCTGTACACACTGACCACTATGTCTGCACAGGTGGCTGAGGCAGGTCAGGTGGCTGCGTCGAGTCAGGTGTCTGCGTCTGGTCAGCTTGCAACGTCTTGCTCGTGTCGGGTACCCCTCGCTGACGCGTCTCCGCAGCATGCACTCCCGTCTCCTTGTCTCTGGGCTTCCCAAGTCCCTGCCCTCCCTCTCATGCTCTCCTGCACCGCCTTGCATTCCCTACGTTGAGGGGCGGCAGCGGGCCGCTCCGCACTCCTCCGAGTTTCCTACGACCACTGCTCCTTTGCAGACTCTCCACATGGACGTTTGGGGCATGGCCCTCGTCAGTGGAACGGACTAGGAGCGCTGCTTCCTGCTGGTTGTTGACGACTACACACGCTACACCACTGTCTTCCCCTTGCGGCACAAGGCGGACGTCAGCGGTGTTTTGATCCCCTGGATCCGTGCTACTCGTCGCCAGCTGCACGAGCGGTTTCGTTGAGACTTGCCAGTCCTGCGTCTGCACCCTGACAGGGGCGGTGACTTCTCTTCCGACCTCCTTGAGGAGTTCTGTTGAGACGAGGGCATCCGCCAGACGTTCACGCTTCCGCCCTCTCCCCAGCAGAATGGGATTGCTGAGCGTCGCATTGGCTTGATCATGGAGGTGTTAGGCATATATGCTATAGTCTGTGTAGGCTGTAGTGGGGCAATTCAAATGGGGTACAACACTTTAGGGTTTACTACTTGTACTCCTCATTCTGCTCAATGCATTCATTCCTCGTTTCTTATCATGGTATCGAGCAGGTTCCCTAGTGGGAACGCTACCTAGGGCCCACCACGATTTTTTTTTTTCCTGCCCGGAGCGCGCTTCACTCCTGCCCGAGTCGCGCTCTATGTGCCCTCCCTACCTTCGCGCCGCCCTTAGTGGCCCCTCTCACGGCCCCTTTCGCCGCCCTTACGGCCCCTCGCGCTGCCCTTACGGCCCCTTACGGCCCCTCACACCGCCCTTACGGCCCTCGCGCGGCCCCCTTTCGACCCCTCCTTTCCGGCCCCTTACGGCCCCGTCGCCGCCCCTTTCAGGTCCTCTGCGGCCCCGTCTAGGCCCCTTGCGGCCCCCTCTGCGGCCCCGTCTAGGCCCCTTGCGGCCCCTCTGCGGCCCACCTGCGGCCCCGGCGCCGCCACCTGCGGCCCCGTCGCCGTCACCTGCGGCCCCGTCGCCGCCAGCTGCGGCCTCGTCGCCGCCACCTGCGGCCCCGTCGCCGCCCCCTGCGGCCCCGTCGCCGCCACCTACGGCCACGCAGCCGCCACCTGCGGCCCCGCCGCCACCTGCGGCCCCGTCGCCGCCACCTGCGGCCCCGTCGCCGCCACCTGCGGCCCCGTCGCCGCCACCTGCGGCCCCGTCGCCGTCACTTGCGGCCCCGTCGCCCTCCACTAGCGGCCCTGTCACCACTCAGCTGCCCAGCGACCGAGCCGCGAGTAGCCCAGCAGCCGAGCCGCCCACCTGCCGAGCAGCCGAGCCGCCCAGCAGCCGAGCCGCCCAGCAGCCGAGCCGCCGAGCAGGCGAGCCGCCCAGCAGCCGAGCTGCCCAGCAGGCGAGCCGCCGAGCCGCCAAGCAGCCGAGCCGCCCAGCAGCCGAGCCGCCCTGCCGCCGAGCCGCCCTACTGTCGAGCCGCTGCTGTTCCTACCAATGCGCCTCGGCCCTCCTTCCTCGGACTGGTGAGCTCACTCCCTACTAGGCCACTGCAGTCATGGCTACCTCCAGTGTCCTTACTTTTCATGGTGAGGGCCGTGCCGTTGACTTTGAGGTCTGGGTCGATGACCTCCAGCTGTTTCTCCAGTGCGATAGGGCAGACGGACTCTCTCTGTTCGATCTCACCTCGGGTGCCTCTCCTGCCCCGCCTGCTACTGCTGACAGCACTATTCGCTCACAGTGGGGCCACACGCGATGCTGCTGCTCGCCTTGCTGTGCATCGCCACTTACTGACCACTGAGCGTGCACACTTTAGCCAGTACAAGAGTGCTCAGACCTTGTACGACGCTGTAGTTGCACGCTACTCTTCCTCTGCCACTGCTGCACTGAGCCGCCTCATGCTACCGTACCTCTTCCCTGACCTTGCTGCCTTTCCCACAGTCGCTGACCTCATTATGCACCTCCGCACTAGTGACACTCGCTACCGTGCTGCGCTTCCTGCTGAGTTCTGCGCCAAGAACCCCCCCCCTATGTACATCACCCTCTACTACATAGTCACCCGGCTCCCTGACTCTCTCCGCGTAGTCAAGGACCACTTCCTCTCAGTTTGCCCAACCACACTCACCGTTGACCTCCTTGAGAAGGGCCTCCTAGCAGCAGAGAAGAGCATAGTCGCTGTAGGAGCCTCTCGTGGTGACCCTCGCACCCCCGTCTTTGAGGGGTGTTCCCCCTCCCCCCTCTTGCCCTCTGTTGCCTCTACTGCTGCGGCCGACCTCGTTGGTTTCGAGTCGGTCGGCGCTGCGTCTGCCCCGAGCGCGAGACACCGCATCAACAAGGGCAAGGGGGGCAAGGGCGCTGGAGGGGCTGGCGGGGGCGGTGGAGGTGGCGGTGGAGGCAGTGGAGGGGGTGCAGGTGGTGGTGGGAGTGGTGGCGGGGGTGGAGGTGTCGGTGGCAGCAGTGGAGGCGGAGGAGGCGGCGGCGGTGGCGGAGGGAGCGGGGGCGGCGGAGGTGGGGGAGGCGGCGGAGGCGGCGGAGGTGGCGGAGGCGGCGGCGGCAGCAGTGGACCTGGTCACAGCTCTGCGCAGAGGAGTGGTTCCGGTGGTGGTACGCGCCAGCAGCAGCAGCGCAGTCGTGAGACCCGGTCCCCTCAGCAGCTTCGTGAGTGGTACGCTGCGCGTCAGCGCGGTGGGGGTACGGGTCCCTGCACCTACGTTCTCCGCACCGACGACCGCGCTGGTGAGCAGTGCGGGGGCCCGCACTCCACCCAGCGCTGCTTCGGACGCCTGACGGACGCGTGGCGTCACCAGTTCCCTGAGGCCTCGGAGATCCCCCGCTGAGGAGAGCCGTCTAGGGCGGGGGTTGCTATCTTTGATCTTGATTTTGATGTTATTCTTGCTGCCATGTATGCTGTTGCTGATAGTGTTGAGGATGACTGTTACCTGTGTGTTCCGCCTGATCCGGGCATTGAGCGTGCTGCTCTATGTGCTGGCGAGGCTGCTGCTGTAGGTGCTAGCGCGTCTGCTGCCCCAGGTGCTGGTGAGTGTGCCCTCTCAGGTACCACGTCGGCTCAGGCCTTACACACCTTCACCCTTGACTCGGGTGCTTCCCGCTCCATCTTTCGGGACCGCACCACACTTACGCCGCTTAGTCGGCCTGTTGCAGTCTCTTTGGCGGACCCCTGTGGGGGTCCTGTCCTCGCTCGCTTCTCCACTATCTTACCGTGTCCGGCAGTCCCCTCTGGCACCCTGTCAGGTCTCTACCTCCCCTCGTTCTCTACGAACTTGGTGAGTGGAGCGGACCTACAGGATAGGGGGGTTGACCAGTTCACTCCTGCGAGTCAGTGGGTGACCCACTGCACATGTGCTCGGACAGGCCGACACTTGGCCACGTTCACCCGTCGGCCAGGGTCGAGCCTGTACACCCTCAGTACTAAGTCTCCTCCGGCTGCTGAGCCTGGTCAGGTCGCTGCGTCGAGTCAGGTGTTTGCTGCAGCGTCCAGGTCTGGTCCTGAGTCTGCTCCCTGCTCGTGTCGTCTCCTGTCTCACCAGACTCTCCTTTGCCACCACCGCCTTGATCACCCCTCTCTGCCTCGTCTCCGAGGCATGGCCTCCCGTGTCCTTGTCTCTGGTCTCCCCCTGTCTCTTTCTCCTCTACCTCCGGGGCCTGCCCCTAGCTGCGTCCCCTGCGTCGAGGGGCGAGTGTCAGTAGAACTACACTTTGAGATCCCCGATTGATCCTAGGGGGGGTTACAGGCGCGTTTTCCTGGGGGGTTATGGGCGCACTGACCCGCTACTGAAACAAGCCCTTTTATCCCAATGGTCTAGTGGTTGGGATTCTGACATGGTATCAGAGCGGTCTCGGGTTCGAATCCCGGTGTATGCACATGTTGGCCGTTGCCACTGTGCTCAGTCCTGGGCCTCCCAGTGTGGGGGGGTGTCAGTAGAGCTACACTGTGAGATCCCCGATCGATCCTAGGGGGGGTTACAGGCGCGTTTGCCCGGGGGGTTATGGGCGCACTGACCCGATACTGAAACAAGCCCTTTTATCCCAATGGTCTAGTGGTTGGGATTCTGACAGCGACAGCGCGCCGCCCTTCACTCCTCCGAGTTTCCTTCGACAGAGGCTCCGTTGCAGACTCTTCACATGGACGTGTTGGGCCCCGCCCGCGTCCATGGCCAGGGGCACGAGCGCTACTTCCTGTTGGAGGTTGACGACTACTCGCATTACACCACAGTCTTCCCCTTGCGCAGCAAGGGCGACGTCACTGAGGTGTTGATCGACTGGATCCGCCCAACTCGTCTCCAGCTCAGAGAGAGTTTCGGCTCCGACTTACCTGTTCTGCGTCTGCACTCTGACAGAGGCGGGGAGTTTTCCTCTTCCCGTCTGGGAGCCTTCTGTCGTGCACAGGGCATCCGCCAGACCTTCACGCTTCCGGCCTCTCCACAGCAAAATGGGATTGCTGAGCGCCGCATTGGCATGGTCATGGACGTCGCTCGTACGTCCATGATGCATGCGGCTGCCCCCCATTTTCTGTGGCCGTTTGCGGTTCAGTACGTGGTGCATAAGCTCAACCTTCAGCCCCGATTCTCCTTGCCAGAGACCTCTCCCACCTTGCGGTGGACGGGGAAGGTTGGCGATGCGTCTGCGTTTCGGGTCTGGGGATCTCGGGCGTTTGTCCGCGACTTGTCTGCGGACAAGCTGTCCCCCCGTGCTGTTCCCTGCGTCTTCCTTGGATTCCCCCCTGACTCGCCTGGTTGGCAGTTCTACCACCCCACCTCGCGCCGTGTTCTGTCCTCCCAGGACGTCACCTTTGACGAGTCGGTACCTTTCTACCGTCACTTCCCCTACCGCGCCGCGCCCCTTCCCCCGCCGCCGCTCTTCCTTGCACCAGGTCCTCCCCCGGTAGACCCCCTCCCCCCTCAGGGTCGTGCCCCGTCAGGTGTGTCCCAGGTAGACGCAGTCGAGCCTGTCGAGGTAGCTGTTGACTTTGGTGCTGCTAGGGGCGCTGAGCCTGCTGGTGCCGGGTCTGGGGGTGCTGAGCCTGGGGGTGCTGAGCCTGGGGGTGCTGAGACTGGGGGTGCTGAGTCTGGGGGTGCTGAGTCTGGGGGTGCGGAGCCTCGGGGTGCAGAGCCTGGGGGTGCGGAGCCTGGGGGCGCTGGGTCTGCTCGTGTGGCCGCCGGCGGTGCTTCGTCGAGGCGGGAGCCACTCTCTCCACAAGAGCTGCGCGAATGGTTTGCCCGCCGCTGGAGACGTGCTGCTGGAGCTGGAGGTACTACTGTTGCTGCTTGTCCCGGACGTGCTTGTACTGGCGGTCCAGGAGCTGCTGGGACTGGGGGTGCTGCTAGGGCTACTGGAGTTGGTCCTGCAGGAGCTGCTGGCGGTGCTGGTGCTGATGGAGTTGGAGCTGCTGGAGTTGGAGCTGCTTGGGGTGTTGGCGCTGGTGTTTCTACTAGCGCTGGTGCGTCTGGGGGTGCTGCTGAGGCTGCTGGAGCTTACGGTCCTACTAGAATTGGTGCTACTGGAGCTGGAGCTGCTGGAGCTAGAGCTGCTAGGGGTGTTGGCGCTGGCGGTGCTGCTGGCGCTAGTGCTTCTGAGGGTGCTTGAGTTGGCGCTGTTGGAGCTGGAGGTGCCGCTGGCGCTGGTGCTGCCGCTGGGGGTACTGGTGCTGTCCTTGCTGGTTCTGGAGGCGCTGCGCGGCCGAGGCCGTACTTCGTTCCGCTCCTGGAGCAGGTTCTTGGTCTCCCGCCCTCTACTGGTCATGCTCCTCCCTTAGAGTGTCCACAACCTGTCCAATCGCAGTCACAGTTACAGCCCGCCTCCCCTCTACCTGCTCCTTCTCCCTACACTGGTCCTACTGGAGGTCTTGCTGAGCGTCGTGAGCCTGCGTCTCGTCCTGCGTCGCCTGTTCGTGCTGCTCGCACTAGTGGTCGTACTGCGCGTCCGCGTCCTCCTGCGGTCCCCGGCACACACCAGATGGCGGTGCGTCCTTCCACTGCTCCTCTGCGTGTCCCTTTGCCGTCTCCTCCAGAGTCCTCTCTGCCTGTCCTTCCTGACCTTGAGTCCAACTCTCTTCGTGCTACCAGTCCTACTGTCACGCATTTCCTGGCCACTGTTCTCACTGACCCTTCCTTTAAGTCCACTGCTGCGTCTGCCTTAGTGGCTGAGCTTCTCGACTTCGCTGCTCGCTGTCGTCTAGACTACGCCACTAGTCTTGTTGCTGAGTCTGAGTCTGTCTGTCCTCCGTCCGTTGGGGGTGGGTGTGCTCTTAGCATGGACGTCCTTGAGGACAGGCAGGAGGAGTTCCAGTGTTTTGCTGCTGCTTTGCCTCATCTCGTGTCCACGTTGATTGCCCTTGAGGGAGACCCGGATGCACCAGACATCCCGACTCCTCGATCGTACGCTCAGGCGATCAAGGGTCCCTACTCCTCTCAGTGGCAGTCAGCCATGGACGCAGAGATGGCTTCCTGGAAGTCCACAGGAACCTACGTCGACGAGGTTCCCCCACCTTGGGCGAACATCGTCAGTGGCATGTGGATTTTCAGGGTGAAGCGGCCGCCGGGTTCTCCGCCTGTCTTCAAGGCGCGTTACGTGGCTCGAGGCTTCAGTCAGCGGCAGGGAGTTGACTACTTTCAGACCTTCTCTCCCACCCCGAAGATGACCACTCTTCGGGTGCTGCTGCACATAGCCGCTCAGCGCGACTACGAGCTTCACTCTCTTGACTTCAGCACTGCTTTTCTGTAGGGCAGCCTGCACGAGGAGATCTGGCTGCGCCGCCCACCTGGCTTCACTGGGTCGTTTCCTCCTGGTACCCAGTGGAGCCTCCGGCGGCCAGTCTACGGTCTCCGCCAGGCACCCCGTGAGTGGCACGACACACTGAGGACTACACTTGCGGCTCTTGGGTTTGCTCCCTCTACTGCCGACCCGTCGCTATTTCTGCGTACTGACACCTCTTTGCCGCCGTTCTACATTCTCGTGTACGTTGACGACTTGGTCTTTGCCACTGCTGACACTGCTGAACTTGCCCACGTGAAGTCGGTGCTGTAGAAGAGACACACGTGCACAGACCTGGGTGAACTGCGAAGCTACCTTGTCTTGCATTTCACCTGGGACAGAGCACAGCGCACCATTACCCTGACTAAGTCACACATGGCGCAGCAGGTCCTTCAGTGCTTCGGCTTTACGTACTCCTCGCCTCAGGCCACTCCTCTGTCTACTCGCCACTCACTCTCAGCTCTGCCTTCGGATGAGTCCGTAGAGCCGAGTGGCCCGTACCCAGAGCTTGTTGGCTGCCTCATGTACTTGATGACCTGCACACGACCTGACCTTGCATACCCTCTTAGCATCTTGGCACGCTATGTTGCTCCTGGGAGACACCGACTAGAGCACATGGCTACAGCGAAGAGGGTGTTGCGCTACGTGTGCAGTACGTTGGGCATGGGGCTAGTGCTTGGAGGGCGACGTCGAGTGGTCCTCACAGGTCACGCAGACGCTTCTTGGGCTGACGACCAGCCGACACAGCGGTCGTCACAGGGTTACACCTTCAGCCTTGGCTCTGGCTCTGTTTCGTGGTGGTCTACCCGCTCGTCTTCTGTTCTCACCTCCAGCTGTGAGGCTGAGATCTACGCGGGGGCCATGGCTGCACAGGAGCTACGCTGACTCACCTACCTGCTGACTGACCTAGGAGAGCCGCCTTGTTCTCCTCCAGTTCTGTATGTAGACAACAAGGCCATGCTGGCTTTGTGTCGGGAGCACAGACTGGAGCACAGAACGAAGCACATTGCTCTTCGCTACTTCCTGGCTCGTGAGCTGCAGTAGCGTGGTCACCTCCGCCTCACCTACGTGGCCTCTGAGGCCAACACTGCTGATATCTTCACCAAGGCTCTTCCGCCTTGTGATCATCAGCGCTTCTGTGCTATGCTAGGTCTTGTGCCTACTTGGCCTCACTTGCTCACTTCTTGACCTTGTTTGTACAGTACTCTTTCTATACCTGCACTTGCTTGTTTACCTTTATATATATGATCTTGCATGTGAACTGGCCTTGTGGCCTTGCTCTTGTGCTCGGACTGTGTGGTGACGTTATGATCCACCCTGAGCTTGCCTTGCTTTTCTTGACTGGTCTTGTGACCCCTTGTTCTCCCCCACTTTGCCTATGGGGGTGTGTCAGGCATATATGCTATAGTCTGTGTAGGCTGTAGTGGGGCAGTTCATATGGGGTACAACACTTTAGGGTTTACTACTTGTACTCCTCATTCTGCTCAATGCATTCATTCCTCGTTTCTTTTCAGGAGGTTGCTCGTACCTTCATGATCTATGCGGCTGCTCCCCATTTTCTGTCGGCGTTTGCGGTCCGATACGCTGCGCATCAGCTCAACCTCTCGCCCCGTGTCTCTGAGCCAGAGACCTCGCCCACCCTCTGGTGGACAGGGAAGGTAGGCGATGCGTCGGTGTTCTGGGTCTCGGGCGCGCTTTCCTTTGTTCGCGATGCCAAAGCGAGTAAGCTCTCCTCTCCCACTCTTCGCTGCGTCTTCCTTGGCTTCCCCACCGACGCCCCGCAGTGGCAGTTCTATTACCCACGTGACCGTCGCGTGTTCTCCTCCCAGGACGTCACCTTTGACGAGTCGGTCTGTTTCTATAGACTACACCCGCATACGTCCCACCCGGTCCCCCTAGCGCCTCTCTTCCTGGTACCAGTCTCCCCCCCCCCAAGTAGACCCTCTCCCCCTGGAGGGTCCTG